TTAAGGCACTGGACTGGGACTCAGGAACTCTGAGTTCAAGTCCCATCTCTGCCACAGACTTGCTGTGACCTTGGGCAAGTTATATGCACCCAGTTTTTCAAGAGCTTGGCTCTCTTTTAAGCCTTAGTTTAAATGAAGACTAAATCGTGAAGCACTCAGCATTCAGCAGCTCCTGTTTTGACCCTTCTGGGCAGATTCTCAATAGAGTTCTGCATGCGGTGTGCTGGGCTCTTCTGAAAATCTGGCCACCCATTTTGGTGTCCTAAATGGGAGCTGAGCTCTTTAGAACATCTGGCCCCTAATCCCTCTGTGCCTCAGTTTCCCCATCAGTGAAATAGGGATAATAATCTTCCTTTGCCTCCTAGGGGTGCTGTGAAGATAAAATCCTTTAATGATTGCAGGGTGTTCAGATGCTACAATAATGAAGGCCATAGAGAAGCCTCTAGCTAGACAAAATAAAGTCTTCTGGGATGGAAAGCTCTGTCACAACAGCTCACTCATTGCCAAGGTGTAGAAGAGAAAATGAAAAGTTTGTAATTCATCTACTAGTGAATTCTGCCTGTCTAATGCAATTCAAATTCTGTCCCAGTGGTGATGATGCCGACTGCAAACAAGAAGTATGGGAAATCTCACAAGGAGTATTTGTCGATCTCTCTTCACTTCCTGGCGGGAGCTCCCAAGCACAAGTGAATCCAGGCTGCGCTGTTCAGATCCGGATCTGAACTTCCCCATAATTCAGGCAGGCCAAGGGCAGGTTGTTAAATTCTGTCCTAAACTTTGATGTATTCAGGTCCAAGGATGGGAATTGTTTGGACTCAGCTCTGCTCCTAAATCCTCACACACCCCCCTTCTCTGATGACATACCAATACTTGTTACCTTAATTATACTTAACGTGAGTTGGAGTATCCACATGCTGTACTCACACAGGTATTTAGTACTGCCCACAATTGTGTAATGGTGCATTGTGGATGATTGAGCACAGCTTTCTAGGAGACCTAGTGGGTGCCCGGGGGAGCAGAGGTCATATAACCTTTTCCCTTCCCCCAGAAAGTCCCATGACTGCTGGAGAGTGCAGGCCACCTTGGAGCCGGGTGGGAGGTCGCACTGCACAAGCAAACCGTACGCTGGAAGAGACAGGTACTAAAATTGGATGAGCAGGGCGCTCTTCAGAGCGCAAAGCTCTGCCAATAACAAACCTGCAGAGCTGTTAAACACTTTCCCCCTGCTCTTGCTGTTGGGCTCTGTCCAGATTCAAGGGCCAAGTTCATAGATTGCGAGGCTAGAAGGGACCATTGTGATCATCTCCTCTGACCTCTACAGAGACCCGCCCCACAATAATTCCTAGAGCAGATCTTTTAGAAAAACATCCCGTCTTGATTTAGAAATGGTCAGTGATGCAGACTCCACCACAACCTTTGGTAAATTGTTCTGATGGTTAATTGTTCTCAATTAAAAATTTGCACCTTATTTCCCCTCTGAATTTGTCTAGCTTCAGCTTCCAGCCCTTGGATCGTGTTAGACCTTTCTCTGCTGGAGTGAAGAGCCCATTATTAAATATTTGTTCCCCAAGTAGGTACTTCCGGACTACAATCAGGTCATCCCTTAACCTTCTCTTTGTTAAGCTAAATAGGCTCAAGGAGCTCGATCTATCAGTGTAAGGCATGCTTTCTAATCCCTAATCTTTCTCCTGGCTCTTTTCTGAACCCTCTCCAGTGTATCAACATCCTTCTTGAATTGTGGGTACCAGAACTGGACACAATGTTCCAGCAGTAGTCACACCAGAGCCAAATAGAAAAGTAAAACAACCTCTCTCTACTCGTTCTATGCATCCCGGGGTCGCATTAGCCATTTTGGCCATCGCATCACCCTGGGAGCTCATGTCCAGCTGATTATCCACCCACCCTCAAATCTTTTTCAGAGTCACTGTTTCCCAGGGTAGAGTCCCCTATTGTGTAAAGATGGCTGGCATGCTTTGTTCCTCGATGTCTACATTTGCATTTAGCCATATTTAACACGTATTGTTTGCTTGAGCCCAGCTTACCAAGTGCTCCCGATCGTTCTGCATCATTGACCTGTCATCTTCATTATTTACCGTTCCTCCAATTTTTATGTCAACTGCAAACTTTATCCGTGATGATTTTATGTTTTTCTTCCAGCTCATTAGTAAAAACGTTTAAATGGTGTCAGGCCAAGAACTGATCCTTGCGGGACCCTCCCAGAAATATACTTGTTCAGTGACAGTTCCCTGTTGACCATTATCTTTTGAGATCATTCCATGAGCCAGTTCTGATATGTCTCATTTCATTGGGGTTAGCCTGGAGTCCTCAACCCCCTACCCTTTGCCATCCACAGTGGACAGGAGCATGTTCTGCTTTGCATGGTGCTGGTGTGGTTTGCTTCCCTTGGCAGTGAAACAAAGCTGGGGGGGGTGGGGAGGTTGCACCTCCTATGGTGGTGATTAAAACCCATTGCTGGAACTGAGGAAATTATGGGCTGGGATATTTTTAGTTTCTCCAAGCCTTTAGCAACTTGCTGGGTGTGAGTGGGGCATGTGGAGGGGCTGGTTTTCAGTTAGAGGAGATACGCGGCTCCATCTACTATGGATATTTCTCATAGACCTATTCTGCAGCCCCTCCAGGATGACACACGCCAGCTTCCCTACCCCTGTGGAGTGAAAGATTCATGGGTAGGTTCTCCCTGCGTAATGGCCCCTAAGAAAGAAACCATTTTGACTCCCCTTCCCATTCCTGAGCATTTACCCATGAATTGTTAGGGGAGGGGGCAAATGGGAAGGGCCAGGAGTGTGGGAAAGGGAAGCTGTATGGGAGGTGGTGATGCTGGAGCCAGTCTGATGAGGTGAGCAGCGAGTCAGCCCTGCAGCCCCCCAGCCTGCAAAAATCATGCAACGGGACCCAAAAATCATGAAATCATTTAAAAAAAAAAATAAGTTTGGGGTTCTCTCTATTCGCCTTGGAAGTTTTTGAGCCTTTAGGGGGCACTCGGGTCATGTTCTCGAGCCTTTTTCCACAGCTGTGAGGGTTAGAAATTTTACTTCTTACAAAATAAATAAATAAAAATCTGGGATTCTCCTGTAATTCAACTGACTCCAGGAGCTGAGACTTAAAGAAAAACACCAAAAAACCACTGCTGCATGTGTGATATTGAAGGGCAAGGGGCGATGAGAAGTCTGAGGGGCGGGTCACCTTCTGGTGGCTGATGCATCTCTTTGAAGAACTGCTGCTCCTCAGATTTGAATCCTGCATCCCATGTTGGCTTGGCGCTCAGTTGTGCATGGTTTGTTCTTAACATGCTCTGCTTTGTGTCTGCACTTGGAGGCATCTCTCTGGTTAGTAGAGCTGGTTGAAAATATTTCCAGTGCAACATTTTTTGCCATTGAAAAATGCTCATTTGAGAGAATTGAAACATTGTGCTGGACTATATTGATTTTTGTCAACATTTTCAACAGGAAAATATCAAAATGTCCCGCTTCATGTCTTTTATGTGATATTTGAAATGATCAAGTCAAAATGCAATCTTTTGACCTTTATGAAAAACAAAATTCTTTGGACTATTTTGGTTTTTTTTGCGAAAAAATCCAAGATTTCTACTTTTTGTCCCAGTTCAGGATGAAATATGTTTAATGTCAAAATCTTGGAATTTCCCGCCAGACAGAAATTCTCTGTTTTGACCAGCCCTGCTGTTTGTAATACAATAACTACACAGAGAGTCTGCTCATGGTGCTGGAAATGTACAAGATCATTCACAAACGGTTGGGGCTGCCTGTGTGCAAATCTATCCACAGACCCCTCTGTAGCCACATGGATTTCAGTTTAAGGGTGGCTTTATTTTGGTTTAGATTAAACTGATTTCTGCTCCACTAGAATTTAAGTGAAATAAACCACTCTGAAATCAACAGAAGAGGGTCGTGCACATGGCCTCTTGGACCAGCTTAATTCAATCAACTTAAAATCACAGCTATAATTGAAGCAGTGCATCTCTGTATGTAGACAGCCTCGCAGGTTAAAGTACAGCCTCACAGAGTTCAGGTCTTAATGCAGGTGAGAGAAAGCACAGGACAATGGGTCAGCTGAAGGAGAGGCAGGGGTAGGAAGGAGTCATAATTTCATAGCGCTGAAGACCAGAAGGGGCCACCAGATTACCTAGTCTGACCTGCTGTGTATCACGGGCCATCAGATTTCACCCACATAGCCCCTATTGATCCCAAAGACTCTAGTTAGACTAATGCATTTCAGTCCTCAGGCACCTAGACTTCATGCCACTGTCCGAGCACAGGAGAGGCCAGGGTGCCACCAATGCCCCAGGCCCCTGTAATGGAAGGGAATGATTAGGTGATCCCAGCAGGCGAGCCACTCCCCATGCCGCAGAAGAAGGCAAAAACGCCCCAAGGTCCCTGCTAGTCTGACCTTCCCAGTCCCAGATCTGGTGATCAGTTAGACCCTGAGCATGTAGCACGACCCACCAGCCGGGCATCTGGAGAGAGGATTCATGGGGGGGGGGTGAGTGGGCTTAAGGGAGGGTTCAGAGGAGGAGAGGAAGGGCACTCCTGCAAGTCAGGGGCGGGAGTGGAGGTGGAGCTGGGTGTGGAGAGCCCTGGCGGGGTAGGGAAGACATGAGCAGGTGGAAGTGTGGCATGGTGAGACGATGCCCCAGGTGGATCTTGGCAGGCAGGATGGTTGGGTGTTGGAGGAGGAAATAGTGTGTGGCCCTGCCTTGCTTGAGCTCATTGCTCAAGGGAAATGGTCCTACAGCTCCTGCTAACCAGCTGCCTCATGTGCCGATACTGGGGGCTGTAGAAAGGGCAGATGCAAGGAGGGAAGAGGGAACCCTGCCCTAGTGAGGCCAGGGTAGCAAGTACAGACGACATGCAGCGGGGGGCTGCTCTCCCCACGGGCCCTCATAGCCCGGCGGTAGCTCCATCCAACACCTCCAATAACGCTGTGCTCAGGGACGCTGCTGCTTCTCATTGCTCACTCAGGTCCTGCGAGCAAGTCATGATGGTTGAATCTGCCTCGGAGACAATACGCTCCACTCCCTCCAGCCAGAACGGGGTCAGCAGCCTCACCAACCAGACAGACGGAGGAGGAGGCGGTGGCGGCGGTGGAGGAGGAGGAAGGGAAGGAGGCGGCGGGGAAACCAATGGGGAAATGAGCCCGGTGGAACTCCTGCATTTTCAGCAGCAGCAGGTAGGAAAGAGCCTCTTTCTTCTCCTCCCTTTCTCTCTCTTACTCTGTCTTCCCTACGTCCTGGTTTTTTTTTTTTTTATCCCGCAGTCTTTTGGCTTTCTGGACATCTGGAGACCTTCACTGAAAATTATAGTAATCGCGGGTTGGAAGGGACTTCGGGCAGTCATCAAGTCCAGTCCCCTGTGCTGAAGCTGGACCTGACCTGTGTTTGTCCAATCTTCCAATGATGGGAAGTCCACAACCTCCCTTGGAAGCTTATTCCAGAGCTTAGCTAGCCTTACAGGTTAAATATCAGGAAAAAGTTTAACTTCATCTCCCTTTCTGCAGATTAAGCCAAATACTACTTGCCTGACCCTTCAGTGGACATAGAGAGCGATTGATCAGTCCTCTTTGTAACAGCCCTTAACATATTTGAAGACTGTTATCGGGTTCCCCCTCAGTTGTTTTTTCTCAACACTAAACGTGCCCCGTTTTCTTTAACCTTTCCTCAGAGGCCAGGTTTTCTAAACCTTTTCTCCTCTTTGTTGTTCTCCTCTTGAGTCTCCAATTTGTCCACATCTTCCCTAAATTTTGGCATCCAGAACTGGACACAGGACTCCAGCTGAGATCTCACCATTGCAGAGTAGAGCAGGTCAATTACCGCCCATGTCTTACATATGACTCTCCTGTTAATAGACCCCAGAATGATATTAGTCTGTTTTGCAACTGCATCACGTTGACTCATTTCAATTAGGATCCACTCTCAGCCCCAGATCCTTTTCATAAGAACTACCGCCTAGCCAGTTACTCCCCATTGTGTAGCTGTGCATTTGATTCCCCCCCCCTAAGTTTAGTACTTTGCACTTAGCTTTTGTTGAACTTCGTCTTGTTGATTTTTCAGACAAGTTCTCCAATTTGTCAAGGTTGTTTTGAATTCGAATCCTCTCCTCCAAAGTGCTTGCAACCCCTCCTAGCTTGGTAGCATTGGCAGATTTTGTTACATGCTCCCCGTTCCATTATTCAAGTCAATAATGAAAATATTGACTAGGGCCCAGGACTGACCCTGTGGGACCCCACTTGGTTCCTCCCAGTTGGAGAGTGAACCATTGGTAACTATTCTTTGAGTACGGTCTTTCATACGAGGGTGCTCTCAATCAGTACTGTCTGCAGTGGTATATGGGAGAACACGATAGTTGCATCTGCTCTGCCTGACCTAGGCACCCCACGAAAGAGGAGGCAGGCAGGGCAGGGCTGCTGCTCTCAATACTTCAGTGAGCTTCTGCCGTCCAGCAAACCCCACCTCACCTCAATGTGCGTGCCTTGCTCTGGGCCAATCTTGTCACTCACTTTCAGCCAAGAGCATGACTCTCCAAGGGCGCCAACGCTGCTGGAGGTGCTATCTCGTCGATGGGGAGTTCAGACCAAGGACCTCGCCTTCTGGCCCTTAAAGATCCCCTTGGCACACTCGTCACCTTAGGTTTGGGATGTTAGCTCTGATGTTCAGGCCAAATTCCAGCATGGCCAGTTGCACCCCACCTCCCTCAGTTCTCCTGCAGTTTCAGCTGGAGATGTCGATCTGCACTTCTAACTGTTCTTTAGTGTTCCAGTGCACTGTTGGAATGGGTGATGTGCTCTGCTACAGGGATGGCTGCATTTCAGTGCTGGCAGAGTGACCCCTGTGTTGTTATAGTCCGTGTGGCTCTGGGATCCTTTCATATGGAATGAATGTAAGACGGTGTCAAAAGCTGAATGCGTGGTGTTGGGACGTCAGGGGAGGGAAAGGGCTGTGAGTTCAAAATGATTGCAAAAACCTGCTGGGCATAAAGTAGGTAGCTGCTTCTCTCTCTGCTCCATGGGCTCTTCCTCTTTACTCTCGGAGATTACCGAGTTCTGCTCCTTCTCTTCCGTGCTTTGGGGCTCACAGCCCTGTAAGGAGGGGTGCGCTGGTGAGTGTGCGTACGCCTGCCTGTGTGCATCTGTGTCTGAGCATGCCTGTCTTTTTGCAGGAAGGCATCTGTACATACATTTGTGTGCATGTCTTGGGCTCGGTGTGCCAGTCAGCTCATGTGTGCATATGTCTCAACCTGTGTGTGCATGCGTGTATTTCTGTGTGCATCTCTGTGCTCGTGCACGTAGGCTCTTTTGCACGTGCTGAGTTCTGGGTGCAGGGGTGCATTGGTGCACATATAGCTTGATCTCTGCATGTATGCACACACGTGTAAGTTGGGGGAGCTATGCACATGCCTACCAAGTATGTGTGCATACATGCAGCTATGCTTGTGTAGTTTGAGTGTGTGTGTGTGTGTGTGTGCGCACACAACTCTCGTTCACTGTGCTTGAGTGCAGCTGGGGCGGGGGGCCGCATGTGTAGTTTAGGCTGGGGGTGGGGGGTGCGTGCATGCCTGCAGGTTACCTTTTCAAAACAAACTTCGGAGAAAACATAAATTTTCCTCCTCGGATACTAAATAAGGCAATGATCCCAGCCTCGTGTGGAGATCGCCTCCCTGAGCCATAAATTCCAGCGTGAAAGCTGTAAAAAATTGCTGTGTCTGATACTTTAGTAGCGAGCGCTGTAAATCCATTACCTGAATAACAGCCGTTTCTCACGCAGTTAAGCCACTGTTCCCCTGATCTGAAGGGTAATCATGCGTGTAATGCTTCTCCGAGTCACCCCGCCGAACGAGATGCTGCTCGTCCTCTCCCCTCCCCGACAGGGAAGGGGGGTGCGGTTGCCTTCGCAGTGCCCTGCGGAGAGGGCACTGAAATTCACTTAGTGGCAGCGTGTGCTTCAGACTCGCCTAGCCATGGTAAATAGGAGGCGCTTGTTCATTCGCAGCCGGGACAAGGCAAAGGGGATGGCGGGCTGTGTGCTTGGAAAGCACAAGTGACTTTGCCAGGGCCCCGGTGGCTTTTGGCACAGGCCGCTGGGGAATGGGCAAAGGCAGTTGATTCCCATTAGTGCCTGGCATTCCTATCGCTCCTGCCGTCTGCCTCCCCCCCCCCCGAATGCTCACTCATCCCCTCACGTGCACCGGGTCACTTCCTTCCCTTCACACGTCCCCGGGTGCTGCATGCAGGCTGCTGGGGGTCAGGCAGAGAGAGCCGTGTGTTAGCACCAAAGGCTCATAAGGCATGTCAGAAAGGTTAGTGAATGCAAGGGTCGCAGCACCGCACCCCTGGAGGCAGGGAAGTGCTGGTGGTATCCCTGTTTCACGTATGGGGTAGGGGAGAGAGGGCAAGTGACTGGACCAAGGTTGTGTGAGTCAGTGGCAAGGAGCCCCAATCCTGTTCTCTAGTCACTAGCCTGCCCTTGCCTCTCAGAGTTGGGGAATGGAAGCCAGCAGTCATGGTAGCCAATCCTTGCTCTCAGCATTAGGCAGTCCTCCCCTTCCAGAGCTGGGAACAGAACCTGCGATCCATGAGACCAGACATGGTCTCTGACAAGGTCAGTGTATCTACATGGGTGATTCTTAACCTTTTCCATACCTGGACCCCCTTTCCCATCCCAGGCACCCCTTCTGCCTAGCAACGTGGGCTGGGTGGGGTGGTCTCGACCCCCAGATCAAGAATGCCATGATCAAGACACCCCGTAGTGAAGCTGTGCTAATGGAGGGTAATTCAGATGTTTGTCAGACACAGTGTTGGGAAGCACAAGCGCAACCCCCTGTAGCGGAGAGGCAATTTGGGGACGTGGATTTTAAAATTCTCTTCGAATCTTTTCCAGCCGTTGTGGTCGTCTGGTCACTGAATCACTGAATGCATTACAAAGTGCTCCTTTAGAACTGGCTGGTGGGCTGAGGCGGAGAATTTACCCATCCCATTAGCCCTCGTCAGCCTAAATCCTGTCCCTGATGCCGCGGTTTCTTGGCCTTAGCAAATTCTCTTCATCCTGACATTCCAATGGTGTTCGTATCCCAGCTGCCCCAGCCCTGCGGGCACCACCGCCCATCTGGGTCGCTAGTCGGGAGCGATGAGGCAATAGGAGATGTGCTTGGAGTCACAAACTATTCCCCCCCCCCCGCCCTCCTTATCATATAATCCAGGAACAAGGGAGTGTGGGATGATGATGATGATATTTTGACGCTGCATGTGGAACTCTCTGGCACAAGGTTTTACTTGGTGAGCTTCCAAACATGAATGACATCTGCAGTGACAGTAGCTTGAATAGACATTCCTAAGGCCCATCAATCTTTGTGCTTCAGGGAACAAGCTGAACACCAGCTGGGGTCAGGAGTAAATGTCCCCATATATAGAGTTTTGCACAATTAGGTGCTTTATGAAGGTTTTCTACTTTCCTCAGACGCATCTGGTATTTACCCCTGTAGAAAGCAGGATACTGGACCACTGGGCTGTTCCTGTCTGCTGGCTCCCATGTCCCTGTTTGTGCTGCAGTTCCTGAAATGTCTCGGTTTTGTTTTTTTAAACAATGCAAATTCCACGGAGAGTTTAGAAAAATTGTTTATGGGCCATTGAGGTCTATGGGGAGGAAATCATTGGATTGATGCCATCCCCGAAAGGGGGTTGCGAACATACAATCATCTAGGGTTTAGATGCTTGGGGAGTTCCCACAAAATTGTCTCCAGCCTAACACAATGTGTGTTCTTTATTAACACTTAGTTTTGCAAGCCTGGCTTAAATAAACCCCTGGGAGGGAGGGAAGGGGTTGCCCCATTTTACAGAGGTGAAATGACTTGCCCAAGGCAGGAAGAGAAGTCAGAACTGGGACTAGAAGTGGGGAATTCCTGGCTTCTGGTGCCATGTTCACACCACGAGACTGTACCCCTTTGTCTCTCCAGAAGGCGTGTGGCTTTCCAACTGATCGTGGGGCGTGAGAGAGGTCACAGGGAGGATCCTGTGCAGAAGTTCCTCTTCTGCCAAGGCGGGTTCAAACCCCAGAATTGGGCTGCCTGTGGGTCTGGATTTTGGACCAGGTCCCGGCATGAGCTTTTCATTGCGTTCATTCCGGTTGCCACCAGTATATAGCGCGTTCTCTTCCCGCGCTGAGCAAGTGCCCGTCTCCT